TGCTGCTGGTGCTGCCACCACGCCCCCAACACAGGCTCTCCAGCTGCTACGGATGAGGATAGGATGGCATGAGCCAACAGGTGTGGACGAGGGCCCAGAATGAGGAGCATGCAGACCTCTCTTGCTTACCTGGTTACCCAGGAAAATGTGGTCCACACGCTGTGTGGCCTGGCTCCAGATGACCAGTAAGCCCCGACTGTAGCCTATGAGGATTTTGGTGGGGTCTTGCAGATGTCCCTGGAGTGACTCCACAGGGCCCAGAGCCTTCCCACACCGGTAGTCATCCGGCACACTGCAGAGAGTGCCCCAGAGTCAGAAGAACTTCCCAGAAATGGGAAGCTCCTCCTGCCTGCTGCTCACCTGCTGCTCACCTGCGCAGAACCTCATCTGGGCTGAGAGTCTGCCCCTCAAGCAGTGTCAAGGTGGCAACATCCAAAAAAAAAATGCTGCCACTCTCTGTTCCCAGAGCCACTATGCTGCCGGCTACCAGTAGGACCACAGTGACACGGGTAAGACTGGCAGGGGCACTAAAGAAAAAGAGGGAAAGAGAGTAAGAAGGCAGAATGGGCTGGGCCCTTGCTGAGGCCTCTTGTGCCCCTCTGGACTCACAGGGGCTCAAATAGTCCCTGCCTTCAGTGACTGGGACAGTCCAGGAACTGTAGGCCAGGTCCTTTACCTGGGAAGCCTGGCCTGCTGTGTATACTAGGGTATCCTAGTGCCTCACCAAGCCCATCCTGGAGAAACCTCCCTACTAGCAACCTGCTGTGTGCCAATGTACCAATAGCCCTTCTCCCATGCCAACTCAAGAAGCCAGGAGGAAGGCCAGACATGGTGGCACACACCTGTAATCCCACACTTGGGAGACTAAGGCTGGAGGACCACTGAAAATTCAGAGCTAGCCTGAGACTTTGCTGATATTACCTTGGCACAGAACTGTTCCAAACCCCTAGAGAGCACAGTGCCATGCTGCAGGTTTAAGGAGTTGGGTTATAACATATGTATTCATTGGGACCCCCAAACTAGAGGTTCCCACAGCAGGAAGCACAGACTCTGCCTACTGGCCTCAGACTTAGCTATAAAAACCTCTAACCCTAACTTCAAAGGACACCACTGTTAAGCAGGGCTCTACCCAGGCAGGGCTCCACACACCCCACCTTGAACTCTAGCCTGTCTCTGCCCTGCCTCAGCAGAGCAGGCTCACAGGCCCTCTCCAATACCCTGTCCAGTGGCTAGCCCCAGTCTGGTCTTCCAGTACCTGGCATTGTCAAAACTGGGCCGGCTGGGTGGCTGGAAGCTGAGCCCTTCCTCCAGGTGGGCACAGCCATTATGATGGATGATCTCCCACAGATGCAGGCTGCTGTCATCTAGCAGGGTCAGGAGGCGGCCCTAATGGGAGGGGGGAACAAAGACCAAAATGGGGCTGGTCTGGAGGGGAGGAGGGGATGGGGATGGGGATCACCTGGTGCTGGTGAAGGAGGGCAGATGTTCACCTGACCCGGCAGGAAATGCATCTGGGTGACGGTGGCTGTATCCCGATGAAGACCTGTAAACTCCACTCCAGGTGCGCCATAGCTGAGGTGACGTGTCAGGGACAAACACATGCAGACCAAGCCAGGGCAGTTCAGAGGGTCCTTTCCCAAGACCTCTCCATCCATGACTCTAGAGGCTACTGGTGAGGCCCCTTCCTGAAACAACTCTGCTCCTGTACCCTCAAGTTACCCAGACTCCACACAGCCCCCCAGTTCAGGTGCTACTGTCCATCATTCTAGCCCTCATCTATACAGTAGGCTAATGACTCAAATGCAGAAAGTTGGTGTGGATGGAGTAAGAATAAAAACCTGCTCAGCACGGCGACTCCAGCATGGTACCCATGTGGTCTCTGATGCATCTGCATGGACCAAGTACCTTGCAATAGAGGTTAAACAGGCCTAGCCAGAACACAGTAGCACCAGATCAAGCCAACTCCAGCTGTGGGCAAGAACCCCAGGTTCCCTCCAGAGCAGGCAGCCGACAGCTTCCACTGCCCACTCTACAGATAAACACACAGACTAGAAGACAGGTGACCTGCTTGAACAAGTGCCCTGAGACCTAGCAACTCCAGGATTGATGGTGGCCAACAAAGCCTGAAGGGGCCAAAGAGGGCTAAGAGATGGGTCAGTAACGTTGTCCTAGTGACCAGCCAGGAGCTGTTGCCTGGATATTGAGCTGGGACTCCCTGCTGAGCCTGGCAAGGATGACAAAGAGAGGGCAGGGGCAGCTGGCAGGAAGCAGGGTTTCCCAGGAGATGGGGCCTGCCCTGCAGAGGGAAGGGATGCTTCAGAAACCAAGGGTGACCACTTTTTAGCCTCAGTTTCCCAACCTCAGGGGCTCAAGGCTGTGGGAACTTAAAGGAAAGAGGGAAGAGAAGGGGCCTCCCCCCTGCACTAGCACAAGGAGCTAAGTCCCACAAGGACAGCTCCAAGCACCTGGCAGTGAAGACCGTGGACAACCCAAACGCAGACACCTCCAACGTGGTACAACGCTGCAGCAATGCGAGAGTAATGGCAGCACAGCACCCACAAGGGCTTGGAGTGACACGCTGGGTGGATACCTGGTCACTGTCCCGACACACATCCAATGGCCCACAATAGAGGGGCGGACATCCCCATCCAGCCACATTCTCTAACACAGGCTATCAGCTCATAAACCATGGTCCATTCCCACCCCAACTTGTCTAGTGCCCTTAGCTCTGGGTAAGGAAAGGGAGGGTGGGCTCCTTTACCAAGAAACATTTTTGTCAGACTCTGCACCTCAGTTTTCTTGAAGGCAGGTTAGGATGGTATTTCCAGGGCTGGTAAGAAGACATTCAGGAGCCTGCTGCCCCACCCCCACCCTGGATTGCAGAAAAATGCCTGCTTTGTACCATTTATTCAGTCCATTGTATGGCAGCAGGGTCCAGATGGGGGCAGTGTTTCACTCTCCATGCTGAGCCTGGCACTGCCTTCACTCCCTGGGTTGAACACATGAATCTTCATATTTCTGTGTGTGTATCTATGTGTGTGTACATGCTCACCCTTTCATCAAGGCCCACAAGGACACCAGTGGTCACTGCAAACTGACTGACCCCTCCAATCACCCACCTCCCAACAAAAAGACCCTCTGAGTCATCACAGGGACCCTGGCACAGCCAACCTCTTCAGGGGACCCAACAAGCACCATGTCTCCATGAAGCAGCTGCTATGCTAGGATCCCAACATGGAGTGGGTGGCACATGAGAGATCCTCGCAATCCCTGAGCACCACAGTGACAAAGGATACATCTTGACAGCCCCAGACCTGGTGCCGATGGCCATGATGCGAAGCTCAGGGTCAAAGGCCAATGCACTGGGCTGGTTGGGGAAGCCATGCTCCACAGTCTGCAAGGGAGGAGAGGGCTACATGGGCAAAACACTCTGGGACTACTGCTTCCATTTGACCCTGAAGGTACTGTCCATCTCCCCACATGGAGAGAGCCAGAGAATAAGAATCCCAGCGCCATCAGAAGCAGGGATAGCATTCGGGGTCCTGAGCACTGTTGGTATTGATGCTGACGCTTCTCTGCTCTTTGTGAACCAGGTCCAGTGCCCTTCCCTACACACCAAGCTGCAGTATCTACCCCTTCCTGTGATATGCTTTCTCCCACTGGCCCACCAATCACGAATCTCCCACCCATGTAGCTGGGACATGATTACCCTCAAGAGATGTCAGATGTGGTCTGGTAGCACACAGTTATCTTAGCATTTGGAAGGCTGAGGCAGGAAGATCCTGAGCTAGAAGACCGCATAGGCCACACAGTGAGATGCTGTTTCAAAAATAAATACATAAATAAAAGAGGTCATCCACATGGGGGACAGTAATCTGAATAGCTGGTGTGGCAGGGCCTAACTATGCAGTCTTGGGCTGATCATGGTACTCCATCCATCCTGCTTCTACTTGGCAGTGACAGTGAGCCCATCCAAAGAGAGCAGGGCCACCAAGGTCAGGGAATTCCTATTCTCAGGAGCAATGCCATGCCGTGTCCAGATCTGACCTCCTTTAGTTAGCCTCGGACTTACAGTCTAGTGTCCAGGACACACTAGAGCATGGTGGCAGCATGGCAAGTCCCCATACTCCTGAGTAGACACCAGCAGGCTCATTTATGGAAGAGAGGCTAGATCCCTTATGTAGTGTCTGTCCTTTGCATCTCACCTCCGATCAATTCCTGAGTCCTATTGTCTTACCTTAAGACACACAGAAGTCACCTTCTCACACTCTGCTCCAGGCCTACCCACTGCCTGCCTAGACCAGTGCTCACTAAGTCACCTATGAAAACCAGCCAGCCATCCCTACCTCCTCCCTGCTGATCCACAGTGAAAGCCAACTCCTCACCATGTGGCCGCTCTCTGGGCATCTCAGTTCACCTGTTTCCCACTCCAAAGGCCTTTGCTCTTTTGCTACGCAGCAGCGCTTGCCAGGGCTTTGACATCTTCTACACTCCTGCCCCCTCCCCCACCAAACTGTGCTTTACCTGGCACTCCTAAATGGCCAGCTCTAAAAGGCCTCCCTAGCTGGTCCTGCCTGCACCATCATCCCAGGGCCACTTCCCACACCCTCATCACACCATGTTTTATCCACAGCACCGGCCAGTCCTGTGAACTACTATATATTTTACTTTTCTGTTTTGGATCTTTGTTCTCATCCTCTTCCCAATGCATACACCATCCCTTCAATGAAGAGTTGTCTCTTTTGGATTCCACTGTGTCCCTAGCAACACGAGGCAGGAATCCAAATTAAACCAGCTTGAGATGCACATCCTATAGGCAACTCCTGGTCTGAGCTGGGCTTGAACCCAACACCCAGGGTAAAAGTCCATGTTCACCTTTGACCACAACCCCAAACTCAAGAATCTGGGGCCTATTTCCTAGGGATCTCCTAACACCCCCTTTGGCAATCAAATCCTTTCCCCAAGATAACCTCTCTCCTATCTCTGCTGCCCACTCAAATTGTGCCTCACCCTCAACTGCTGCCACTGCAGCGCCAGCCAGGGTGAGCCAAGCTGATTCAGAGCCTCACCCCATCTGTGCAGGTCCCTTATACACCTCCATTCACTGGCTAAGACCTATCCTTCTTCTTGCTCCAAGGGGCTCACTCTCATGGTCACCCCAGCAAAAGCAGAGGCTCACATCTGGGGAGCCTCTCCTCTCCTCTCAGGTCTTTGGTAGGCTCTCAGTTACTGTGTCTGTGAATCCTGGCAGCCCCATCATTGCTGCCTGGGACCGCAACAGGAAAAATTGAGCCATGGCAGCACCTCCCCTGAAACATATCTCCTAAGAGAAGTCCAAGGTCCTTAAGCTCTGCTCAGGACGGTAGAAGCTGCTTCAAAACTCTGGGTCCCTACTCCATTGTCATCACACAACAAGGCAAGAAAAATAAGCGGCCCACTCCTTACTGAACCTCAATTTTTTTCACGTACGTAATGGAAATGAGAAATCAAATCCTCAATGGCAGGGGTACATACGGGCTCTTCGATAAAAGTAACATTCAACCCGAGTCCCATCACTCCAGATCAGAGTTAGCCTTGCAGGGCTCTATATTGTTCAGTGCCGGGAAGGTGAGGAGTGAGGCCTTTCCCGGGGCCCCTTCTGCCTCACATCTTTCCAACTTTAGTAAGGTCAGGCCGGCCTGGTTTCAGGGAGATCCAGAATCCACAAGGAGGAAACTGGCCTCGTTTCATGGCGTGGGGGAAACTGAGGATCTAAAATTTGAAATGCAGCTGGGCACACAG